AAAGTGATTTTTCTCACCTCGCGCTTCCCCCCAACCCACCAAAGAAAGCTACTTTACTCCTATCCCCAGAGCGGCAGTGCTTTCGTTCAGATTTCTTTCACCTAATTTACTTTGCCACTGTTTTTTTATATTCAAATCCTCTCAATTGTTGTAACATATATATATATGTATATATATTGTTATATGTATAATTCCGTTTATCAAGTCGAAAAGACTCGCTCGTCCCTTGACTCCCTTTTTAAAGGCTTCAAACCTTGTAGGCCGGAGAAAGCGAGATTTGTGATTTGATTCGCGATTTTTGATGTTCTTCCGAGTTTCAACGTTCTGGAAATAGAGAATTAACTAAAATTTCAGAACCAGTAATACAGGTAGAAAACACTAAATCAAAAAGTTGAACAGGAAGATATAAAGACAGACAAATACAACAACGAAGTGAATAAGAAGTCTCCATGACCTTCATAGAGTCGGTTTAAACTTGAACCAAATGCCTGCAAAATGAATATAAATCATTCTGGAATTGTCAAAGGCATTCTGCCCATTGCTTCTCCTTCCATTCCACGACTCTATATGTTTATATCTATATATTTATTTAGTCAGTAGGAGAGAAAAAAATTATAGTTGCCAAGTCAACCATCTATCAAAAGTAAATCTCATTTTGTATTTATAAAATTTCTGTAGTTCCAATATCACTGCGAAAAAATGGTGCACAAATTGTTTGGACCACTTATCGTTTTTCTCGTTTGCTAAAGAAGCGCCTTTCGGTGACCCTATGAATGCTAATTGCATGTGCTCGTGTCGTCGTCATCTTTGTGCTTATCCATTCATCCATTCATACGCCTTTTCCATCGACGATAATCACTCGGTTTTGGTTTGGCGTTGGGTCAATGCCATGCGAACGAAATCCCACCCAAAATCATTCATTTTTTTGATGGCGTTCAGAATCGGAACAGTGTCATGGCCACATCACGTTCCAGTAATAAAGGGTAGAGCAATCGCTGCTGGTCGATCCCTTTGCCAATGTGCCATATGTTGGATTTTCACGCAGAGAGACTATTTAGCCAGCACAACAAAAACCGAAAGCCAGCCAGCTCAATATCCCGTAATTTCAAGTGCCCAGTGTTTTTATGGTTTTCATAAGGGTACAGATCAAAGGCTGAGGCGGTGGTGGCTTAGTGGTACGTGGCACGCTTACCAAGCGCGGTTCTTGGATCAGGGATCGGCTCTTACCCAGGCCAACCAAGCTTTCTACCTCGCGACGTAAAATTGGTACCAGATTGGTCTGAGAGGATAAGAACACTGATTTGTACATCGCCCGCCCCCCCTCGATGATAGGCCCTTATCGCATTCAACGAGCTATAAGGTCTGGGTGGAAGTGGAATTCAGAACCGCATCCTGAAAAGGGATCGATTAAAAGCGGACTTTTTCATCCTTTCAGCTCAGAGGCACAGTTCGTGCTCATGGAGTGGGCGGAGTCATGCCTACCTATGTGTCAGCCTCATTGGGGTGCCTTTTGGTATGTGTTCTAGTAGGTGAAGCACTCTAATGAGGAGCAATCCAATGAGGAGTGGTCGGCCGAACCCCACTGTCTGCAGTTATTCGAGCACCTGTGCCACTTCGTATGAAGTCGAGTGCATGGCGCACCTTGGAGGCATTGGTCAATAGCAAGCCTTTTTCGGTACCTATAAAGTCTGAGTGAGGTATGAGAGAGGAGATAGTGAGACCTATCAAAAAATAGGAAAGGATGGAAGTCTTTGTAGTGGCAGTCCTTAGGAGGGTAGAAGGTTTGGTTGGTCTGGGCGGAAGCCGACCTGGGACTTGACCTCGTGTGGTAAGCGTGTCACTCGTGTCAACATTAGCTACCCTGCAGCTACATGGCCCTAAGTAGGTGACTGCAATCAAAATTAAGGTGCTCACGATTGAGAAGACAAGCAGTTAGTCGCTGAGGTGCTCTTGATCTTCTGGGTATTCATTCCCACTTAACCCCTCAGATATGCTAACGGAATTCCTACTCACACCATGAACGTTCCTGTTGGCTAAAATGTGTGACGAAAGCCTGAACTGGTTTTTGTTTTGTTTTCAAAAGAAACAGAAGCTACAATGCCAATCTTTTTTCCGAAAACCTCATAGAACAAAGCAAACAGGATCGGGCGCTATGCATTCCAGCCTGCTATTCATTACAACTACTGAATGAATGTGGAACTGCTAGAAGATGCATGTAAGTGGAAAGTACACGGCTAGTTTCTGTCTCCGAAAAAGTTCGCAAAACTCGTTTCTAGCCCTAGATAACCTTCTCAGGCAAAGTATTCTCGTCTCTACTTGAATTTATTGATACGGTAGTGTCAAGTGGGGTCGATTGCGGAACACTGGCCCTGACAGCATTCATTCCCGCGGAAAAATTCCCTTTGCTTGGACAAAGGTAGTGAGAGCAGAGACTTTCGGGAGTCGGTATTCGGAACAAGGCTGCGTTGGAGCTCCCCAAAGAGAGAAGTCACATAAGAGAGGAGGCTCACATTTTTGCCCCGAAAGAAAATACATCCAATGGCATAGACTCCCTGTTTCCGAGGAGGGTGTAAGTTGGCTGACCAACGCAGTTACTGAAAGCACGTTTTGTGTAGAGGCCAACACTTCTGAGACATTGAAGCTCAATTTTCTGGTAAGATAATACGTATCAGTTCATGCAGGTCTAAAGTCGAAAACCTTTTCGCGCGATTGCGAATGAATAAGTCGGATGTGCGCTCGTTCAGAGGAGCTACAAGATTTTCAATCAAGGCCATAGCTCTAAGAGACCTTTATCTTGAAGGTGTGATGGGGCTGGGGTATTTTTTCGGCGGCGAATAGGACACGCGACCGGAAGTATGTAGTGAAGTTGAGAATCTTGTTGAATGGAGGTGTTGAAACGTTTCCTACTAAATGATTGACGGTTTTAGAGTGACTGTATTTGCTTGCCAAGGTGGCAAGTGCACTGCTTTGTAGTCCAGCAGTTTTTTGAAGGGTTCTAGGATTTTGAACTGTTGCCGTCGACAACATCATTTTCGCGACTGCGCAAAGTTTTTAGCCCTTACGCCGCTCGATACCACTCGACCAAGTGAGGAATTTTACACCATTTCCACGATTATCTGTGCTGTATTACACTTCTCGCTCATGTCTCCACTGGTGCGTAGCGTTTTATTTTTGAAGTTTTTGGAAATGATTATTAATCTCCTGGTTTAAGGGGTTGCTAAGGCAAAGAGTCGCTCGCAGGTGCGAAACTGCTAAGACAAATATAAAAGAAAGTGAAGGGGGTGGTTTGGTGAAGATTTAGAATTTTCAACGTCTTGTGTGAAGTTTTTCGTTTAATTTTAGATAGGGTCAATGCCTCAAACTATGGGAAGGATTCTGTTTTTATTTGCTAACCATCGAAACGTTTGGGAAGCCCCGGTAATTGGGGAACCGCCTAAGCGGCATTTTTGTGCCTTCAAGGCTAGAACTTCCTTTGAGGCATAGAAACACCGAAGAATGACTGTAAGTTTCGCCTCAGCGTCTCGTCCTCGCTCTCAGCCGATTGGCGCTCGTTAGATTAAATCGCGTTGTGCTGTGCGAGTGTATGTGTCTGTGTGACCAGTTTGTGATGATGGCGCAAGCGACGACGAGGCGTTGGTGGCGGGCGGTGTGTTGTATTGTAAGCGAAGTCGTGACCCAGTCGTCATCATCATGTCGTCGTCTCAATCAGTCAGCCAGTCGCTTCGCTCATTCTCACTCACACTCATTGAAGACCTCACACAAAACAACCTGTCTCACTTATGTCTTCTCATAACGCCGATGACGACGACAACGATCTGGAGCCGACCCCGATTATTCCGCATGTGAAACCCGCCAAGCACCTGTTGCCCCGGTTCTCGCTCATTTTTCTGAACACTCCTTGTCAGCCCTCCTGCTTTTATGAAGGCTACCTATAAAACATTTCTTGTGAAGCGCCGTTCGACTTTGAGGGGCACTTTGCACTTTCTTCAGTCTCTTTTCTCCTAAGAACTTCTGAAAAGCTGTGGAATGGTACAAATGAGCCATCTTGGTCGACGGAATTCGCGGGTCTTCACAAGGTGGGCTGGCTTAGCTGAACCCACCAGGCCGAACTTCGCCCTTCCAATATATTTTTTTTCAGTTCGTTCCTCGCTACCGCTCTTAAATTTTTTATTCAATCAGCTGGCTTTTACATATACCCCCTGCTCATTACTCTGGCTTTTTAGCCCCATCAAGTTTGTGAATCATAGTTTTATATCCACAAAGTAAGTACAAACAGTTATAGTTTCCTTCGCCCTTCTACTTTGGAATGAGCCATGCGTTCGACACTTACTCGAAATCATGTGTATTCCTGTAAGCATGGCAGGAGTTCGAGCCAATTTCCTTGTTCTTTTTTTCCAACTTTCGAGCTACGCACCAGAACTTCAATGATTTACCTTTCAGCGGAAACCGACTTTGCTAGCTGTTCCATCCTTGTGGAGGGTGGAACCTTTAGCTACTGCACTACATTCGCCCATCTCTAGATTGTAACGGCTGTAATCAGGTCTGAGGTTAATGGAAACCGGCGCATGAAATAACGTGAAAGACAGCGCGCCTTGTTGAGATGTTCGAAGATTGCGCCAGACCTGTCGGACTTTTTTCCACTCAGCATTTAGACTTCTGTTGCACTTAGGCTATCAGTTTGGGTCACGTACTACATATGCGTCTATTAGGACTTGCGCACAACGCAGTACCCACCATCAGCGCAGTGCAGCGCAGAACTAATTTTTTTACTTTTTTGGTAAATTATATATTCAAGAGCAAGTTTGAGAGATAAAGGACCACTGCCCAAGTGGCATTCCATGCCGAACACTCGCTGTTTCTTTCCAAATCTGAATCTATTCAAGAGATTCCAAAGCCATTATTCATGTGTCTAGCACTTTTTCTAGCCAAATGTCTGTGTATGTAAACGTGCTCGTTAACGCACTGGCAATTACTGATTTACTAACTGGCTCAATTTTCAGATGAACAAGCAAAAGTCCACCGAACCTATCCGATTGAAGCCAATCCTATTGCCATCGCCGCCACGCTTGCCCACCAATCAAACTACACCCAGCAGCCAACTTGTAAGTTAAACTGCTCCGTGCTTTTTATAGATATTGATCGGCATCAAATTGAAATGTGACAACCATTTTCTCACTTATGACCGCTCACCACCGCTGCGAAAGGAGCACGAACCGGCGGCCGATTGTAGAACTAGTTTTATGTCGTTCCGTCGGATAGTTAAATACGCTCACTACCACCAAGTATTCGAAGTTTAACCATTTCGAGGATAACGGGTTATAGTCAGACTGGTTTTTCTCTTTCGAAGGGTGTTACCCAGACTATACTTATTCCTTTGGCTGATTCCCACGGTTTGCCTCAAGCTAAGTCTAGTTGGTACATTTGCGCCCTGCCGCTCTTTCTTGTGCTTTTGTTCTGGCTAACGAGAACAGCTACGGGAATTCCCTTGCTAAAGATAGCTCAGAGGAAGACGACGCAGTGGGCTAAGCTACCCGATACTGTATATACTTCATAGTGGTAACAGTAGGAACGAGTAGCAGTATGGCAGTAACTGCAGCGGCTCACTAACCAGAAATGAGAGATACGTCCGGGCATCACCTATCGCCGGTTGGGCAGCAACAATCTGGTCCCATCACTGAAGTTAGCTACGGTAGACCCAAGGACTGGTCACTACTGAGTGCGGTTTATCCGCTCGGAGGCTGGGGCACCCACATGTTGCTATACCATAGAGCTGAACTAGGGCTTCACGTTCTCCTTCCCATGTCAGTTGGCTGTTGGCGAATCCCAGAGTACATTGTTATAAATTGGCGTGCGATTTATATAAGACCATCAAGGCCGAGGGCAATTATCGTGTTGCGGTTGCGGGATGAGGGCTTAACGGCGACGAGCGCGACATTTGAGATGGGTGCGATCCAATCAATCATCCGGTCATTAGTGACCACACTAGAGCTTAGGCTCTCGTGATGCATTGAAATCTCTTGATATAACTTTCCCAGATTACCTCTAATTACCCATGTATGCATAGAGATAACCTAAGTTGTCGGCTAAGCGGAGCTTATTATGTGACCCTTAGGTCCTTTGACCCTTAGTTGTGACCCTTAGTTTTTTTTTTCGCGCTAATTTTCACTTTTCCAGATGAAATCCTCCTCGCCACGATACTGCCCATACATGAAGCCTGGCACATCATCACCTGTCTCCTTGCCGTCAATCAATACCGTACTACCGCCTTCGTCACCGTATTCCACTCCCGTCTCGCCGTCAACTGGCGGGTACTGTACCTTCAGTCCAGAGTCCGGTACCGTTACACCGCTCTCGCAGCCACTTTTTATACAAACTGATGACTCATACTGGTACGGTACACAGTTCTCATATGATGTGTGTAAATTCGGTTCACCACCGGTAATCTCGATACCGTATCCTTATTCGCATTTATCAAATGGTCAAACGTTTTCTTCTTCGTGTTACTAATTACTGAATTCATGCGTTTTGTTTTCGTGCAATACAGTGTTGTGTTACGAGTATTTGTTTCATAAATCATTTATCACTTATCAATTGTTTTGTTGATCACTTATGCCGGAACGCTTCCCTGACTTCCAAAGTACGGTAGGCAGTCTCACGCCGATATTCAACAGTATCAGAAATGATCTGTTCTTGCTTGTTTTTGTTGGCTTAGGCCTCTTTTAGGCCTCCTACTCGGTAATATTGCTGCACATTGTATTAGTTTTCGTTTAATGGAGAACATAAGTAAAGTTGTTCAACAGGCAGTGACAACTCGGACAAAAACTGGCTCCTTCTCTCTGACAACTCGTCCCAATTATTGTTGCCTTTGTTTGACAACGACATGAGAAAAAAAACTGCATCTAGCATGAATAGCGAGTGTTTCCAAAGCCAGTGTAATGTGAGTTGTGTCGACACAAAGCGTGACTTCTGGAACAATTTACAATGTAATAGAATGCCAAAGGAAAATAGGGCAGTCAAATCTGGCATGTCTGGCCTTGGTCATACCTAGGGATTGCCGAATCGTTGAGAGAAAGTGGTATAGGAAAAGGGTGAAGTGAGTGACTTTCGAGAAAGTCCATAAGTCAAGATAAGGGTAAGGACTGTTGTCGCCGACATCCTTAAAAAGAAAGGGAATCGGAAAGAACTCTTCACTACGATATAAGGCCGAGGCTCAACTGGCTTGGCTGAATTCCAAAGAGGAGGCGAACTTCTCGAAACACAGTGTCAGAAATGCATGACAAATAAGAGGGGTTCGGCGACACTTTCGCTGCTTCACTAGTTTCGGTTTCAAGTCTCACTTTGGTGAAACCTGTGAACTCCTTTGAAGCTGAAGGAAGCTCGTCGAACCACTATGGTAAATTCTGTTAACTCATGTAGCTCATGAAATAGCTCCCTAGATGGCTTGGCTCGTAGATGGCAAAAGTGCCAAATGCCACCCCTCCCCATCGCCGCCGCTGACGCCGACCAGGCGGCACTGTTAGTGGAATTTGGAAGACGTCTGTGTATCTAACGATAAGGAGGAGGATGTGTGACAGAAGGGTTTTTATTAAAAGCGACATATCTCGTCCTTTACAACAGAAAGAACTTTCTACGGAATTAGGGAAGGTGGGAATAAAAAATTGTTGATAGCCCCTTTGTGGGTGTGCCACACCGCACTTCCTTATCCTGGATCGGAAGGAGAATGCGCGGTAACGTGCTCATTCGAGTTGAAATGCAATATTCACTTGTTGCGGGATTTTTCACGTTAGATATTGACTGTGCTCGTCCAAGGATATATCGAAAAGATCTCACCAGAAGTGCAACGACCGTCACGTTCAAATGAAAGTCGCAAACACGCCCATCCCATCCTGAGGATACGGTGTACACTTACGCTCAGAAACTAATGGTGTTGGAATTCAATTCGGCCTCGACGAAGCCCGTGTTTTTCTTTATCAAAGGCATCCAGACCAATAAATATACCCAATAGAAGTTTTTTGTAGTGATGGAAGTAGTTGTTCTGGACTGGATTAGATGCACGGTTTGACTCACTCACCATGTATGTACTTCATTGGAAGGCCACTACACCGCCTTCGCGTAGCTTAACTCTCATGAACGCCATTCTCAAAGGTTATTTCCAGAGATTGTTCCATAATAAACGCTGGAATTCGAAGAAACTCGTGGTTTGTACAAGTTTGTCAGCGCCTTTTGAGGCAGCTCTTCTAGTAATTACGGCTTCATCGCCCTCAGCCGCCTGACTGAGCTAGAAAGGGAATATTGCCGCTCATCAGCCTTTCCTTAGGGAATACTTTGTTGTGCAACCATTGCTCTTGGAACAATCAGCAGTTAAAGTGAAAGGGCCCTCACTGATTATATGTAGACTTTGAGGAGGTTTTGACGAGCTCTTCCCCTTTTTCCTTCGAACATTTGTATAGATGTTGAAGATAAAGAACCTGATGAAGAAGTTGTCAATTTCCTGTATAAACTTAGATGCAAGCAATACTTGGCCACTGGATGCTCACATTTTTTACATGAATTTTTAAATTAACACATCCCCTGGATACCTGATAAATAATTAGTTAATTCGAAGAAGACAGAACAGCTGCATCTGGCAATGCTCTGCACGAAGTTGGGAGTGGATTCAGACTGTTTTGACGGAACCGTCTTCTTCGGATCCTCGCACGAACACGATTTAAGCTCACGACCGACAGCATTGGAAGGATTCGGACTAAACGTGCTCCTAGCGCGTTCTTGTGATGCTTCAGAAAAGGTAAAATCGTCAAAACCTTAGCCGTTCGAATGTATTGCCACACTCTTTCAAACCTATCACTATGCAAAGGTTATCGAGAGTCCTACATGGTGGAGCCCGTGAAGTCTTCTAAAGCGAACGAAACTGACAGTCAGGCATCGTCACAATCCAAAGTACC